CACCCTGGCCTTGACCCCTTCCAAGGAGGGGGCTTCCACAACTTCTTTGGGCAATCTGTTCCAGTCCCTTACATCCCTCACAGAAATTAATTTCTTCCTAATATCTAATCTAAATCTATCTTTTTTTTAAAGTTTAAAGCTGTTACCCCTCGTCCTATCACACTTGCTGACCAAGAGTCCTTCCCCATCTTTCCTGAGGCCCCCTTTAAATATTGGAAGGCAGTTCTAAGGTCTCCCCAAAGCCTTCTCTTCTGAAGGTTGATCAACCCCAGCTCCCTCAGACTGTCCTCCTAGGGGAGATGATCCCATCCCTGATCATCTTCTTGATGTCTTCTAGACTCTCTCAAGTAGATCCGTGTCTTTCCTATGCAGGTGGACCCTGGACACTTCTTGCACAAAAACTTTTTTTATGGTGATTATCCCAAGCTCAGAGTCTGCATTATTCTGGTGGCCAAGAAAAATCCAGTGCAGGATAAGTACAGCAGCTGTGGTTGCTAACTGTGATATCTGCATGCTCTGCACTACCTCTCCAGATCCAGGTAGTGCAAGGTCTATTTTATCTGTGCTGGACTGGAATATGGAGTTATGTATTTTATTTTTCCTTTGCAATTATTTCCTTCTTACATATGGATATTTTCCTTCCTCCATCTTTGGAGGATTCAGCAAGAAAGAGACAAATATGTCATAAAATAAGGGGGTTTTGAAGGATTTTCTGGGAGAACTTGCTTGGAGAGACAGACCAAGAGCTGGAGCAGTAGCTCTTTCTTTTGTGTAATGCATGACTATATTGTTATCTCTAAGATGTGTCCTGGCTCTGGTTGCTGTTGGTTCAAAGCCTCAGGGTGCTTCTGCTGTGTCAGGATCAATGAGAACTTCATGTGCTCACCACAGCTGCTACAGTACAGATCAATCATCACTGGTCTCTAGAACAGGAGGTATTTCCTTTTATCATTATACCCTGCTCATTCTAAGGATTCATGTCTGCTTGTCAATGGAGAGACAGCAGTTCAGACAGAATCATCATTTATTAATAGAGGATGGCTTGGAGGAAAAGGGATTCTGTGGTCAGATCTCCTTAAGGGGCAGTCAAGAATCTGAAAGGCAGAATGTAACAGAAATGCAGTTTAGTCTAGGATTGACCCACCAATCTATTTTTTCCACCCTGCTTAATTAGACTTTGTCAAGAGTTGGGCAACTAGGAAGCAGAACCTTCTACTTCCTCTTTGTCCTTCCTCATTTCCCTTGTCCCATTCACATGGGCACAGTCAGGACGGGTTATAGAAGAACAGAATCATTTAGTTTGGGAAAAAAACTTTTATATCACCAAGTCCAACCAATAACCCATCAATGCCAAGTCTACCACTAAATGGTATCACTAACCACCTCATCTATGTGTCTCTTAAATACCTCCAGGGATGGTGACTCCACCACTTTCCTGGGCAGCCTGTTCCAATGCTTGACAATCCTTTTGGGGAAGAAATTTTTCATAATATCAAATCTAAACCTCCCTTAGTGCAACTCAAGGCCATTTCCTCTTGTCCTATTGCTTGTTATTTGGTAAAAGAGACCAATCCCCACCTCTCTACAACCTCCTTTCAGGTAGTTGTAGAGAGCAAGAAGGTCTCCCCTCATCCTCGTCTTCTCCCAGTTCCCTCAGCTGCTTCTCATCAAACTTGTTCTCCAGACCCTTCCCCAGTTTATTGCCCTTCTCTGGATACACTCGAGCATGTCAGTGTCTTTCTTGGCATGAGGAGCCCACAACTGAACTTGGGATTTGATGTGTGGCCTCACCAGTGCTGAGTCCAGGTGGACCATCGCTGCTCTTGTCCTGCTGGCCACACTATTTCTGATGCTTTGATTTTATGGACAAACACTGGCAAATTTCTTCTGTACGCTTTCTCCTCTGCAAAGCTGGGATAAACCCATGAAATATCTGCACTTCCTCTCGGATTTCTTCCAGGCATGAGTGGAATCTGTGAAATTTTGGCACTTCCTGGAAGGACAGTCAGATTTGAAGGGTGGAAGATCTGCCAGTGTCCTAATAAAGCTAGTAAAATCTCTTCTAAGAAATTCCAAGATTTTCTTCTTTTTAATCTCCTCTTTTCCTTTCAGCGCTCTGGGAATGTGCTATCATAGAATCATAGAATCACAGAATCATAGAATTGTCGGAGTTGGAATGGATCTTCAAGATCATCTAGTTCCAACCCCCTGCCATGGACAGGGACATCCCCCACTAGATCAGGCTGCCCAGAGCCCCATCCAGCCTGGCCT